ACCTCATCCTAAGACCTGCAACGATGGTAACTGCAAACGGCATACATTCTAACTCTACCAATGCTTCCTTGCATGACTTCATGTTTTTTTGTTATTTTTCTTCATTTTAGATTTCCTTAATCAGTTTTACTTGAGAGGCAAGTTATCAATTATCTTTCATTTGCATTATTGCCTTGGCTGTTGCCACTAACTTCATGGGCAAGTTATATATATATATATTTAACTTCATATTTTTTTGTATTTCAGATAATGATGTTAGTTGGAAAAGAAAGCTGCTCATCGGTAATATGATTCCCTGATCTTCCTCTGTTTCATTCTTAGACGGTTGCTTCATGCATTTTTTCCCACTGAAATGAAATGAAGTTTCGATATGAAACGTATGCAGGTTTCGGTGCCGCTGCTGGAGGAATACTAATCAGCTGTGTTGTCTTCTATTTCTGGCTACGACGTCGTCGCGGTAAAGGGATCTTCAAGCCATATTTCCTTACCAGCAAGAACTCTTTGGACCGCTCTTCAGTGGTCGATTCTGAGAAGGGTGATAGCTTTGCTTGCGTCCATGTATTCACCTATAAGGAACTTGAAGAAGCTACCAACAATTTCGATTCCGATAGGGAACTTGGTGATGGAGGCTTTGGAACTGTATATTATGGTAAGAAAAACTTTACTCGAATGTCAATCATCGGTTTGTCGAAAGTCTATCGATTTTCATTTCCGTCTTTCTTCACCAGGCAAACTTCGAGACGGTCGAGTTGTTGCTGTTACACGTTTGTATAAAACAACTACAAGAGAGTTGAGCAATTCATGAACGAAATTGAGATTCTAACTCGGTTGCGCCATCAAAATCTCGTCTCACTTTACGGAAGTACATCGAGGCACAGTCGGGAACTCTTGCTCGTATACGAATATATACCGAATGGCAGTGTTGCAGACCATCTTCATGGTGACCGTGCCAAACCAGGGGCACTCTCTTGGAACATCTGGTTGGAGATTGCCATAGAAACTGCAGATGCATTGAGATATCTCCATGCTTCGGACACCATCCACCGTGATGTCAAACCAACAACATCCTCCTCGACAAGGATTTTCATGTCAAGTCGCAGATTTCGGACTGTCCCGACTCTTTCCGTCCGATGTCACACATGTTTCCACCGCTCCGCAAGGGACTCCCGGTTACGTCGACCCTGAATACCATCAGTGCTACCAGCTTACTAGCAAGAGCGACGTATTCAGCTTCGGCGTCGTACTAATCGAGATAATATCATCGAAAGCGGCGGTCGACATCACAAGGCACCGCCACGAGATCAACATGCGGAACATGGCGATCAACAAGATTCAAAATGGAGCATTGCATGAGCTAGTGGATCCGTCCCTCGGGTTCGAATCGAACAAAAAGGTTAGGAATGCGATAACGAGAGTGGCGGAGGTGGCGTTCCGGTGCCTGCAAGACGAGAAGGACATGAGGCCGACGATGGCACAAGTGTTGGAGGCGTTGATGGGGATAAAGAATGAGGATTACAAGAAAGGAAATGTCGTACAAATGGAGATGTTTACGGCGGAGGAGGAAGGTGGGTTGTTGAAGAGTGGACCGATGCCTCGTTCTCCAGATTCTGTGATGATAAAATGGGTTAGCAATGGCAGTTATACTACAAACACTGTAGAAAGTGTTAACTGATTTTAAATATAATTATACATTATGTTAGTTTGTTATGTTTGTTAGATATCAGTTATTGAGCTAGTTACAGGAAATTGTTTATATAAAGGACTTATTTGTTGTAATTGAAAGTATGAGGAATGAAGTATAATTCTCCCTAATTTTCAGTTTTAACATGGTATCAGTTTAGCCCAAGGTATTCTTGGGCCGTCCTCACTCTTCCCGTGTATTCCTTCAATCCATAATCCTCTCTTCTCAATTAGGTATTACTTTGTGCGATTATTCTCTTCGACGAGATGGATACCTCTGACACCCCTGCTGCTACCGCCATGCTCGACTTCAATCACCCTCTATTTCTGCACCCATCTGATACGCCGGGCGGCGTTCTGGTTTCACATCGTCTAGTTGGCATCAAAAATTACAACATTTGGAGCCGGTCTATGAGAATCGCGTTGCTGGCTAAGAACAAGTTAGGTCTTGTTGATGGTACTTCCTGCAAAGAAGATTATGATGAAATTTTGCACTCTCAATGGGAACGCTGCAATGCGTTTGTTTTGTCCTGGATTCTCAACACCGTGAGCAGTGATCTCTCGGCTGGAATCGTCTTCGCTTCAAGCGCCGCTCATGTCTGGAATGATTTGAAGGACCGGTTCGACAAGGTCGATGGATCCATAATTTATTTTCTCCATCGTGAAATAACTATTCTACATCAAGGTGATTCAACAATTTCCACTTACTTTACCAAATTGAAATTGTTGTGGGATGAATTTAATGCCCTAGTTCCTCTTTCATCATGTATTTGCGAGGCATCTCAGCAAAATTCTAAACATATTGCACAACAGAGGCTGTTGCAATTTCTTATGGGACTTAATGAAACTTACTCGGTTGTTCATAGTCAAGTTCTACTTATGCAGCCTCTACCTACTGTAAATCAAGCCTACTCAATGATTGTGCAAGAAGAAGCACAAAGAGCTCAGTTATCTGGTGCTTTGGATGCTGATGCCATGTACTCTAATGCGTCTGGAAATTCTGTTCGAAAGCGGTTCACTGGCGTTTGTGATTACTGCAAACTAAAAGGCCATAAACGAGAAAACTGTTATCGTCTAATCGGGTTTCCTCCAGACTTCAAATTCACCAAAAAAAGGAATTCTCAGGCAGCTCTTGTCTCTAGTCCCTCACTGGCTGATTCCGATCATGAGTCTCGTTCTGGTGAATCACGCACGGCTGATCCTGTTCCTGCTCCAGTTTTCACAACAACTCAATATCATCAAATTCTTGAGCTCTTGAATAAAACTCCTTCTGCTGATGCAGCAGTTAATCTGGCAGGTATTGCTTCCATGTGCTCATTTGCTTCTTCTAATTCCTTTCGTTGGATACTTGATACAGGGGCTACTGACCATATGGTGTCTGAAAGTCATTGTTTGCAATCTCTAACTTCATGTGAGCCTAGTTATGTCCATCTACCCACTGGTAAAACTATTCCAATCACCCATACTGGCAGTTTTCATTTTAACTCAATTGATGTTCTCCAAAATATCCTATATGTTCCTCATTTTAATCATAACATGTTGTCAGTGTCAAAATTCACTAAAGACCTCAATTGCAGTATTATTTTTATCCTCATTTATGCATTTTGCAGGATCTCTTCACTGGGAAGATGAGGGGGATTGGTAGGGAAGCTCGTGGTCTCTATTTGTTCATCAATACCTTATTTCTGGTTTGTCATCTACAAATGTTACTTCTGATTTGTCATCATCTAAATGAAAAGTTGGTTCTGGTTGTATGTCTGTTTCATCTGATAATAATACAATGTTTTGGCATGCACGTTTAGGGCATGCTACTACTGTTAAAATGCATAAAACTCCTTTTTTATGTTCTGTTCCTTTAAATGAGAATTCTGTTAAGCAATGTTCTGTCTGCCCTCTTGCAAAACAATCTAGGTTACCATTTCCTATTAGTTCATCTAGATCACCTAAACCCTTTGATCTAATTCACGTTGACTTGTGGGTCCCTATAGGATTTCAACACACAGTGGTTATAGGTCTTTTTTGACTATTGTAGATGATCACACTAGGTTGTCTTGGTATACTTGTTGAGACTTAAGAGTGATGCAATCCTTTTCTTAAGCAATTCTTTACTCTTGTTCGAACTCATCATTCTGTTTTGGTTAAGTATGTTCGTAGTGATAATGGTGGTGAATTCTTTAGTGATAATTGTTCTGAACTATTTTCATCCCTTGGTATTGTTCACCAAAGCTCTTGTGTTCACACACCCCAACAAAATGGGGTTGCTGAATGAAAACACAAACATCTTTTAGAGGTAGCTCGTGCTCTTAGATTCCATTCTCATGTTCCTATCAAATTTTGGGGTGAGTGTGTCTTAACAGCCTGTTATATCATTAACAGGCTCCCTACTACTGTTCTAAATTGGAAAAGTCCATTTGAAGCTTTCTATAAGAAATCACCTAATCTTTCTTGTATGAAAGTATTTGGTTATCTTTGCTATGCAACCAAAGTTAACTATAAAGATAGATTCTCTCCAAAGGCCTTACCTTATGTTTTTATGGGTTATTCATCAACTCAAAGGGGCTATCTTCTTTTTTATCTTCATACAAAATCTTTTTTTGTCAATCGTGATGTAGTCTTTCATGAGACTATCTTTTCTTTTTCATTTCCATTAACTAATTCTTCTCCTTTTTTTCCTGCTCAACCTTTCATTGTTGATTCTAATTTTCTTACTCTTGAAATTTCTGTACCATCTAATTCAATTCATTCTGATTCACCCTTTGTACCTTCTTATTCTCCTTCTTCTTCTTCTTCTTCTTCTACATCACCTCAAGTTTCAACTAGTTTACCAATTCCATCTTCAAGTCCATGTCCTAGTTCACCTCATCTACCTCAAAATCAGTGTTTACCTAATAGAAGGTCTACTAGGACTATCAAACCTCCTAATTGGCTACATGATTATGTTCAATCCTACCAATCTTCATCTCTTCCAAGTAAGTATCCTATTTCCAATTTCATTTGTTATTCTCACTTACCTTATAAAACTCAAAGCTTCTTATCTTCTACTTCTCATTTAAGTGAACCCAAAACTTATACTGAGGCCATAACCAACCCTTTGTGGATCCAAGCAATGAAGGGAAAGTTCCAATAGGTTGTAAGTGGGTATACAGAATCAAGTACAAGGCTAATGGAGATGTTGAGCGTTTCAAAGCTCGCCTTGTTGCCAAAGGATTCAATTAAAGAGAATGAGTTGACTTTGTGGATACCTTCTCTCCAGTTGCTAACTAGTCACTGTTCGAACTGTTCTTGATGTTGCCTCCATATTTTCTTGGCCTCTCTATCAAATGGATGTGTATAATGCATTTCTACAAGGTGACTTAGTTGAGGAAGTCTATATGGTGCTTCCTGATGGTTTTTGCAGCCAAATGGAGTCTAAGGTTTGTACGCTGCATAAATCACTTTATGGACTGAAGCAAGCTTCTAGGCAATGGAATTTGAAACTATCAGAAGCATTAGTTACAGCTGGTTACATGCAGAGCAAATATGATTATTCGATGTTCACTAAGCAATAAGGGAATGCCATAGTTGTTTTGTTAGTATATGTTTATGATCTTTTAATCACTGAGAGTAATGAGAAACTGATAGCATAACTGAAGCACGTTTTGAATAAGAATTTCAAAATGAAAGACCTTGGAGAGTTGAAATACTTTCTAGGATTAGAGGTTCTGAGATCAGAGGAATGAATTGTGCTAAATCAAAGAAAGTATGCTTTAGAGTTAATTAAAGAAACTGGAGCAGGGGGAGCTAAACCAACTTTGACACCTCTTGAGCAGAATAAGAAGTTTACTACAGCTGAGTATGATGAAGCAGTTTGTAGCAATGAACAATTGTTGCAAGACAAATCTGTTTTTCAGAGGCTTATAGGTAGACTAGTATATCTGACTCACACAAGGCCAAATATTGTCTATGCTGTTCATTTTCTTAGTCAGTTTATGCACAACCAAAACAATCACATCTTGAAGTTGCTTTGAGAGTGGTAAGTATATCAAGAAAAATCCAGGACAGGGGATTTTATTAAGTGCTACGAGTTAATGCAGATTGATTGCATATTGTGACTCTGACTGGGCTGCTTGCCCTATGACTAGAAGGTCAATAACTGGTTTCTGCATCAAGCTTGGAATGTCTCTAATTTCTTGGAAGTCCAAGAAGCAAAACACTGTTGCACGCTCCTCTGCAGAAGCAGAATATAGGAGTATGGCAGGGACGGCAGCAGAAATAGTATGGCTAAAAGGTTTGTTAGCAGAATTGGGCTTGAAAAATATAGCACCAGCTAAGCTAATGTGTGATAGTTAAGCAGCCTTGCAAATAGCAGCAAATCCAGTTTTCCATGAGAGAACTAAACATATTGAGATAGACTGTCACTTTGTCAGAGAGAAGATTCAAGAAGGCTTGATACAAACAGAACACATCAAGACAGGGGAGCAGCAAGAAGATTTGATGACTAAAGCTTTGGGTGTGCATCAACATGATTATCTAGTTTCCAAGTTGGGGTTTAAAGACCTCTTTACAACCACCAACTTGAGGGGGAGTGTAGAAAGTGTTAACTGATTTTAAATATAGTTATACATTATGTTAGTTTGTTATGTTTGTTAGATATCAGTTATTGAGTTAGTTACAGAAAATTGTTTATATAAAGGACTTATTTGTTGTAATTGAAAGTATGAGGAATGAAGTATAATTCTCCCTAATTTTCAGTTTTAACAAACACAACACCAAGTTTCTAAATTTCCAGGCATATATATATATACATACATACATTGAATGGTACATGGGATGTGTGTAAATATTATATATATATATATTTGTAGGATAAGTCTTGAATGAATACTTCAAATTTTTGAGCTGATTCTCTTTTCTTTTTGAAAATTCTTTATTTGTTTGTTTGACAGTGTCTATGGCAATGTAAGTATAACAGTGGAATGAATAAAATTCTCCTACCCCATCCCATGCCCCTATATGTGCGTCACCACATAATATACATATATATTAATGATTTACTAGCAAATTAACGAAATTCCATTATTATTCTTATTTTCTTTATTTTTCATTCAATTTTTTATGTAAAATAAACCAACGGTGATTTGGCTTTTTTCCCATTAAGCATCTCCGTTTCTCCTTCACCTAGAAGTCCCAGCAATTCCGGCTCAATATTGCCTTGCTTAAGATTCTGATGAATCCAATGTGGAAAATATATCACACTCGTCTCATGTACCCCGACATCTATATTCTTTCTTCCTCCAGCCATCTCAAGAATCATCATCCCATAGCTGTACACATCTGATTTATGCGAAACGCTTCCAATGTTCCTACAAAACACTTCCGGAGCAATGTAACCGATCGTTCCTCTTGCTTCTATCATCGATACAACCCTATCGGTCCCGTGACATCAAGGTTTCAAATAGTGGGACGCAAACGTAATAGTAGCCGTTATTCCGTGGTTGCACCGTCGTCCGAAAGGCAACGGATTCACGTTGATAGCGGTCCGTCGCGCCCGCAATTTAACGTGTATCAGTAAATAGCACCGATAATGGATGATATTACCATTTTTCAAAAGTTACTGCAAAAAAAACTTAAAAGAGTTGGAATTCTCACCCAAAAAACATCTGGGAAAGAAACTTAGACGACCGTGTTTATTGTCGCACAGTGACGCCTTCGAAGAATATGGTTGAGTGGACGCTCGATGAAATTATGTGAAAATGAAAGGTTGAGAATAGGGAGATTTGGACTTAGAGATAATTTACAGAAAGGTTGAGAATTGAGAGATTTGGACTTGGAGAGAATTAAACGATGGAAAGAATTAGAGAGAAGAGCTTTGGAATTTTCTTTTAACATGTTATGTTTGGGTTTTAACTCAAAAAAAAAAGGTAGTAGTTTGGGTCGTCCACTCCCACTCCCATTTCCTTCCCTCTTTTTATTTTTTTTTTAAATAAATTCTAAAATATTTTTAAGGGATATGTTAATTTGTTATCCTTATCTTTTAGAATTTATAATTTAATCTTTATTTTAGAATGTAAACTTGTGTTTACGCAGTTGTTACTATTTCGAAGTAAACACGAGGCATTCGGTACTCCATAAGCACAGAGCTTGAAATCAAATGAATCCGAGTAAATAGTTAATTAAATTTTTTACTTTATATTATTTAATTATATTATACGTCTTATTTCTTTTAAATAATAATGTATTCACAATGTCATCACTCGTCATTAATTATCTTATTCTATTGTGGGGTTTTTAAAATTTTATATTTGGTTAAACTATATTATATATTTATATATGTCATTTTCGCTTAGAAAACGTTATAAAAATCATTAAAATGAATCATTATAATTAAAATTATTATGTTTTAGGATAAGTTGTGTAAAATTTAAATAAATTCACGACCGCGACACCTACAGTGACCGCGATGGCATCATTTATATCCGCAATCGCAATAAACGCGACGCGACCGAAAACGTGACCGCGAACGTTATTTAAATCCCTGTGTGATAGTTTCAAAAGCCCAAAATCGGAGATCTTCGGACAAAATACATCATCTAAAAGAATGTTATGAGGTTTTATGTCCAAATGCAGGATGCGAGTGTTGCAGCCGAGGTGCAATTATTCAAGCCCCCGAGCTATTCAGATCGCGATTCGGTACAAGTATTCCACTGTCAAGACCCGACCATCATCATCATGGGAAGTGCTTTTTCTGTATATGAATTTTTCCAAAGTTCCATTCGACATGAACTCGAAAATCAAGGCTATTTTCTCACCTTCCAAACAAAACCCTAATAGTGTGACGATATTAACGTGAGACGTTCGACTGATACTTGCAACTTCATTGATGAACTCTTGGCCGTTTCCTTTGGAGGTATTAAGCACTTTGAAAGCAACAAGATGGTTGTCGGGTAACTTCCCTTTGTAAACACTTCCACAACCTCCTTTTCCCAGCTTTCCTTTGAATGAATTCGACATCTTCTTGACTTGTGGATAACTGCATCTTTTACGAGCTAGGGTTCCATTATTTCTCAGGAAAGCCTCAAGATCTTGATCTTTGTTTGTGAATTTCCTGAGAAATGGAGCTGTTGTAATGCACGAGATGTTTATTCTAAAGCATAATAGTAAGCTGATCAATATACCACTTGCTGCACTATCAATGCCCGTCATATAAATGTATGTGAGTAGTAATTCTCTTAATTTTTTGTTACAACGGTGGACTAAAATAAAAATTAAAATATAATGATAGTCGTAATTATTTTTAAAAAAAAATAATTAATTAACCAAAACGAAATCAAAAGTGATAGTCAAGTGACTAAATATGTAATTTTTCATCTAAAACTAGGCTTAATACAAAAGTGTCTACACTATTCCTCGAAATATGATTTGGTGCCTAAATAATTTTTCGCTAAAAATATGTACCTAACGTTTTCTCCGTTAGTCTGCCTACCGTTATATTTTTTTATTTTTTTAATAATAAAAATATTCTTTTTTTTCAAACAAAACAAATCAAACCCCCTTCCCCCTCGGCATCCCTCCCGTAGCCCCACCTCACGACGAATGGTCATCATCGCTCAGATTTTGTTCGAAACATGACGAGGAACATAATGGTGACGGCTGTGTAACGTACGGACGACTGTAGGCGTTGATATCGTCGAAAAATGTAAACGAAAAACCTAAAAATGTGACGACCTTTCGCAATGTTTTTCATGATGATCGACGCAATTTCAATGTGGATGGGGACTGGGTTTTGGTCGCGATGACGAGGCAGTTATGATGGTGTCAACGGTGACGATCACGGACCGACGGTGGTCGATCGAAGATGAAAATTTTTAAATTTAGTAAAATTTTATATGTGTGGCGTGTGTCAGATAATGGCTAAATTTAACGGTTGCACCTAAAAATATAATGTTGGAAACGTTACACTTATTTTTAACGAAAATTCTCTAGACACCAAATAATATTTTGATGTATAGTTTAATCTCTTATTTTTTATTAAACCTTACAAATATAAAGTGTTTCAAAAATATATATGTACTATCGGGCGATGAATGAAGTGTCTAACAATGAAACAGTGTAGAATCAGGGGATTATAGAACCGATGAGCAGCTTTGTTGTCAAGCTAAAGTCACCACCTGAAATAAAAAAAAGAGACAAAAAAAAGTTGAAATATGTGTGTGTCTGCATATATATATATAGAAAAAAATGTCAATTACCATTAGTTTAAAATTTAAGGGTACTCAAGATAATGTTATATATTAAACTTGCCTGTGAAATTAGTGACCACTGCCAGGGCAATAGTGCACATGAAAGACAACTGATAACTTACATCTCAAGTGAAATTGATTAAGGAACCCGAAAATGAAGAAAAATAACAACAAAGCATGAAGAATAGAAGGAAGCATTAGAATGTATGCCCTGTTCAGATACTATCGTTTCAGGTCTTGAGATGAGGTTTGTCTGAAAAAAAAACTGATTAAAAAATCGAGTAATTTTTCATATTAATATAATTTCAAAATTAAATTGAAATGTAAAAATTAAAACTATCAAAATACATAATAAATAAATTTATAAGATTGTCGAATAATGAAAACTAGTATTAAATAAATAAATTTTACTATTATTAATCACGATTTCAGTATTTAATTTACTATTATTTTTTTATGGTGAAAGAAATAAAAGATACAAGCAGATATTACTTTTAACGGTAAAAGATAATTATCATTGACATTAATATTGTCATATATCATTAATTACGTTAAGTTAATGAACGGACTTTATAACAACTATTAATTATCACTGTTCATATTTGTAATCTATGGACAAACACCTACTGCAACGCTTTGGTTAGAAGATAAGTGCTTTGATCTTATGACTGGCCTACCATCTCTTTAGTTGAACAATGTAGACCGGAAAACTAATCACAACACTATTCACAGAACAGATTGACTAATGAATTTGGGTGCTTCACGAATGGAGCAATTCGAATTCGACTTAGTCAAAAATTAGTAAAAGCTTGATCTAAATTGACTCGACTCGAGCTCAACTCGATATTTTAATAAACTAGATCGAGCAAAATTCAACTTGACTCGTTAAGTTTGCGAACAACTCGTTAGATTTTATTATAACTATTCAATAATTATATTAAAAAAAAAATTCATTCAAATAATTGATATTTACTAATAGATGATAATAAATCACTAACCTATTAATTTTCTAATAAATAATTAAAAAATACTAAATTATTAATTAATAATTATTATTTTACTACACTAAAATCCAAACCCTAATTATTATTTTAATATATTTATAGATTGTTATTTTGGTGTTTAGGCATTTCATACGCTCCTTTGATATTTTTTTGGTTTAATTTATTGATTTATTTTTATATTAAATTTAATATAGTAATAGTAGATTTTATTTATAGTTACAAAAATAAAATAAAAATTCAGTGAACTTACTCGACAAGTTTTCTTAACTTGCACTAGTCGAGAAAAAATTTAACAAACTTAACAATCAACAAGTCGAGTAGCAAAATTTTGTAACGAGCACGAGTCGAACATTACTCGACTCGCGATCGACTCGCTCGATAATCGCCCATAGTAATGAATGAAATCTGCATGAACGCCATACAGCAATTATGTTCTCCAGCTGCTTTATCCTCGCAATATGTAGCAATACATCATTTCATTTTACACAACTCAAAGCTGGAATTCTTGCAAGCTCAGAATTTCTTTTATTCGTTGCCCGGTTAAATTCGGTTATCACGTATAACCCTTTCCAAATCACAGTCAAACCCACTTTTCTAAACCCTGTTTCACCCACTTTCCCCATACTATTTACCCAAGGATGTGAAGTTCAATCTGCGAATCACAACGGAAATGGCAAGGCTCAAATGTGATATAGCAAACAACTGAGAATCGTAGATCT